CCCCCAAACTTCTTTTGAATTATTATGTTCTTGCTTGCTTAGCTACCAATCTCAAGCCAACTTGCAAGAAAATCTACATCATTTAATGCAAATCCTTTTTTTTTTCTTTTTTTAAAGGTACAAATAGAAATTTCAAAGGCACAAGTGGCTGAGAATATAGAGACTTGGTTAAATAGATACCTCTAGGATCATGGGTTTGGTGGAGAAAGATATACATAGAGAGAAATCAGTGCATAACTAGTTTTTGAGAATGAGTTAGTGTTAAAAGATGATCGCAGCCTTGGAACCATACACTTATTTGTGGCGGTGAATACGATGAACAATAACTTGACTCCTTTACTATTGGATTGTACTTAGGTTCAGTTGAGATACTACCTACCAACCAAATCACATGTAAGTTAGAAAATATTGTAAATTTCAAAACCAAGTATTGAAGGAGAGCTTCAATATGTATTACAAAGTCACTTTTCTTAAAATATAAATCATCCTCACAACTTACAAATGGTGTACAAGTAGATTCAAGTGAAACCCAATTCCTCATGTAAGAGTTCTTGTGTATTGGCGATTCCGAATGAACTGGATTTACATCTCTTTTTCATTTTCATTTAAGAGTTTTTGTGTGTTTTCACGCCTTTTGAGACACCGAAAAATGGACAAAATCTTGTAAACGCTAGTTGGCTAAGAAGTGAGTTGAATATTTGTATAGCTCAAGACTGGTTTTTACAATTTGAAAATGAAATGAGCACCTAATTTGTTAATAATGGAGATCAATTTAAAGTAGAAGGTCTAGAGAGGTCATTTAGACCCTTTCTTGCAAATTCTATAACATTGTTGTGGAATTCTCACGAATTAAAATATTCTACATTAATACTTATGCGTGTTTCGGTAAGCTTAAAAAATATTTTTTTTGGAACATGTATGGATTTACTATTTTGTTATTTTTTTCTAAAAATGAACGTATTTTGAAAGTAACTCTTTTTTTACTGTCAAAATAACCATTCAGAGGATATAAGAATTGAGAATAAAACACGTTTAGATAAAAAAACGTAATGCGATTTTATTTTATTTTTTTCCCGATTTTTGGGCTTAAACTGCTTAGTAAACTCACGCTTTTCTTTTCAACAATATTTTTGCTCACGTGGTGTAATAAATTAATTTAGTGACACTCTTAATGGTGTAGTATTTAATTTTATTTTTTCACCTAGTGACCATTTGTATAATAGTTAGAAATTTGAGTTATTATTATGTAACTACTTTCTTTAAGGATGGCAAAAAAATTTGTTCAACTAGAAATCAGTGGGGCCCCGCTCCAAACGGGGTGGGGATTAGCCACCTAATAAGATAAACGGGGCTAGCACGGGAATCCTAGTTCCCGTCCTACTACCCGTCTTATTCAAAGTTGGGTTGTGCTATGTGTACACAATGGTGTACACCCCCCTCACATGGAGGGGGCCCGCACACAATAAAATATGTGTGGGCCCCCCTCCATGTGAAGGAGTGTAATGCATTGTGTACACCATTGGGTGTACACATAGCATTATTCTTCAAAGTTAATTTTAAATTGAAGTTTTTTATCAAACAAAAATAATAGATTTAACATATTTTTGGTTCTGGTCTGGGGTTTTGTTAACCTTTTTTATT